AGGGTGTTGAGTTTTAGTCCTACCAAAAGCCAGCTGGGTGACTTTGGGCCAGTCCCCTCTCTCAGCCCTACCCACCTCACAGGGTGAGGAAAATCAGAGGATGATTAGGTACATCCACTGCCTTGAGTTATTTAATAAAGTGTGATAAAAATCTAAAAAAAAAATTACTTCTGTCACCAAGCTGTGTGTGTTTGGGAAACAACACTGACTATTTGACAGGACTCCAAATCTTCTAGGTTTGATTCTAGTTAATGTATAATAGTGTGTTTTAGAAGTATATCTAGCCAATGGGGTCTTTTTTAGGTTAGTTAGCTTCCTGAAATTTCCCTGAAATAATCAAGCTAAGGTCAAATTTTACCCTTTTGGTCACACTGGGACATCCTGAAGCCAACTTTTTTTGGCTCCAAATTCTTGTACATTTTACTTAGTGCACCTCCCCACCAGCCAACTGGCCCCAGCCTCCTTCCAGAAATGTCTACCTTCAAGATGGTGGATGATGAGATTCAGTCACAGGTGTGGAAGTTTCAATCAAAGCAAGTATGAGCAAACTAACAGAATAACATCTATTTCCCCTCAGGGTTTGGATTGGCAGCCTGTGGCAGCAGCTTTAACAGAATCCCCAAATGAGGGATATTCTTTCTATGCAGACAGTGCCAACCATCCAATCCACTCGCTTTCCAGTTATTTTGAACAGAGCCTCCCAGAACTGCAGTTCAAATTAATAAACAATTCTGGAAATGTGGATGCTTGCCATGGTAACCTCCAGCCAATGAGCTTAGAAGGAGCCTGTGATGTCACTAACAGTCATTTTGATTTGGCTTAGAGTTGAGATTTGAAAAATAATAAACTGATTGCCTTTACATGAGGGCCTGGCCGATTCATTTATTGGCAAACTCTTAAGGGCCTTTTGCAAATGAGCCCTGAATTAGGTTCAAGCAGGGCTAGTTCATCTGAATCGCTCTATCTATTCTTCTGCTTCAGAGAGCCATTGTTAGGAACAGCAGTTAGCAAACACCCACTTTGATACTTACTCGAAGCAGCTAAAGAGGCTGATTATAGAAAAGATCTTAAAACAAATTAGCTGGAAAACTAGCTCCTTTGACTACTCATAAAGTCTACATTCTTCCTTATTGGTGTGATACAGCCAACTGTACATATGTCATCTTGGGAATGGTGGGCAGGCCTCAGCCACATGGAGGGAACTCAAACACAGCTGTCATTTTGTCCCACCCACTTGTGGGCTGGATCCAAATAGCAGCCACTAAACAACCTGCTTCATTTTTCTGCCTTAATTTGGTCTGTACAGTGCTGTAAGAAGCTTTCTGGAGCATTCCGAAGCTTCTGCAGCACTATTCAGATCCTGCTAAGGCAGCATAACGAAGCAGTTTGTCCCTGGGCCATGTGACAGTGACATGAATGTGGCAGCCATTTTGTCCCTGCCCACTTGTGGGCAGGGACAAAATGGCTGCTGTGAGACAGAGGGCTTCATTTTGCTGCTATAACAGGGTCTGCACAGCGTTGCAGAAGCTTTTACAAAGCAAAATGGAGCTGTTTATTCATGGTCCGCATGGCAGCATACCAGAATGTGGTTGTAATTTTGTGGGTAGGACAAAATGGCAGCTGCTTCTGAAATAGCACTATGCAGGTGCACAAAGAAGCAATCCATTCCAGTGCTCTGGAAGGCCTTGGTACTCTTCAAAAGGTAAGTGAGAAGGAGGGTGTTTGACTTGGTGTGGTGGGAATCAGGCCTAAGTCCTGTAGGGAACCAGTGTGAGGGAGGAAAGGCGTGTGAGGACCCAAAGGGCAGGAAGCAGAGCATGGGTTGTCTTGTGGGTGGGGGAGGCTTTTGGGAGGACCAGGGCAAATGGGCTTGGGCTTTTGCTAGACCTCCAAGAATTGCCCCCACTTTTGAGGCACCCCATGATTCACTTAACAATCTGGGCATACCTTTAACAATTCATTGGGGAGGGCAGGGATGGACTGGCCCTTAGATGAGACATTCATTTAATGACTGTCGCAAAATATGACCATAATGGGCAATCTCTCAAAGATTATCTATACTATAATTTCAGATGTATTTCTGAATTTTCTTTCTTATCTCATTATTATATAACACAATTCTAATATTCGTCTTAACAAAGCAGGCCAAATTGGAAACACTTCTGTGGCTACAGTAGTAATATGAGTGGTATTATTTTCAGTTAATATTAGTGCTTGATTCTTAAAAAAAGGTCTTCATTGGAAACTCTGTTGTACAATACAGCTTTAAATATGGACAGGTAACAAAAGTAATGTATGTTTTTTCTGCTATAGTAAATTCTCCAGCTTTTGTTACTGTATAGCAAGTTGAATTTTATAAAGGTGCAGATTTAACATGGTGATTAATGCCTTTCGGAAAGGGGTGGACCCAGTAGCTGATGGACTCATTAAATACCCTATTGGATAATTTTTATCCAGTCTCCAACCTTCCCTTTTTGGGAAAAATTATTGAGAGGGTGGAAGGCTTTTACCTAAAGACAACCCTGGATGAAGCAATCTTTTGAACTGTTTTCAGTCTGGATGTATGGTATAGTACAGAGACAGTATTGGTTGTGCTTGCTGATGGCAATTCCAAGAGTTGTGTCTTACAGGATGGATGGCCATATGAATCAATCAATCAAACAAACAAACAATTAAACAGATGCCGATATGTACTATAAGATATCTCAAAAAATAGCCCAAGGTTCTGCCTAAGTGATTGGTGGCTATTAATTCCAGTTGGGCAAGAATGGGGTTAGGCTCAATCCCAGCAAGACTGAGATTGTAGATCTTCTAGTTCCAGGTATTTTCCAGCTTTAATTTCTCGTGGACCCTGCACTGGTTTACAATTAACGTTTTGGTATGATTTCAGGTGCTGAATTTTGCCTACAAAGTCCTTCGTGGCTTAGATCTTAGAAGTGTATAGGTCTGCCTATCTCATATTGGATTTTGCCCATTCTATAGGATCTGGCAATATTGGTGTGTTCCATGTCTCATTAAATAAATAGTTAATTTAGTTAAAAATAGACACCAAAGAGCACCAGTTCGATTGGAACAACACAAAAATCATGACCATGCTACCACCCGCCACACTTGTGAGTTCATCGAATCCTGGCATTCTATAAGCAATTCCATCAACAGACATATTAACCTACAACCAGCGTATGAATCCCTCAGAATCCATATCAACCGCACAGCCAACCAGAGACAGGACCAACGCATGCAAGTTCTCCTTCCCACCAGCAGTTCACATCCAATGACACTGAACTGATGTAACCTCCCCATCACGACCCATTTCAAGACTCACTGATGACTCAAACCTGACCCATTACAAGATCCATCACAGACCCACACTTGATACACACACACCTGAAGCCCTTATAAACAGAAGAACACTGACATCCCCTAAACTGTGCTGAAGATGTTACCTAACCTGATAATGAAATGTTCAGAAATCAACCCACAAGCTTGAAGAATGAACCTTCACACTTATCCTAACCCGATTCTTGCCCAGCTGGAACTAATAGCCACCAATCACTGAGGCAAAACCTTGGGCTATGTTTTGAGATATCTAACAGTATATATCTGCATCTGTTTATTTAATTGTTTGTTAGATTAACTGATTGATTGATCCATATGGCCATCCATCCTATGAGACACAACTCTTGGTATTGATGCTATTGAAAGTCACCTAGAGATCCAGGAGATGTAGATCAATTATTCCACTCCCATTCCAGGGTGTCTGGAGGCCATCGGCAAGCACAACCAATACTGTCTCTGTGTTATACCATATATCCAGACTGAAAAGGGTTCAAAAGGTCTGCTTCATCCAGGGCTTTCTGCAGAGCTACAGATATTCAATATTGGAAATAAATAGTGTCATCTTATAGGTTCCCAGAGGTGTACCTATTCTGCCACTATTCTTGTATTCGAAAATATCGTCTTCCTCTGAGGATCATAGGACCTTGATTCTGTTGTGCTTTAGAACAAGTTAAAAAGTTCTTCCAGCAGACTCTAGGCCAGAGCAATTTGTGAAACTGTATAAAGTACATGCCTTTTGTAATCTTTACATTTCCCCAATACAGCAGACTTTTATTAGCTCTATGTTTGAATTTCTGTAATTTGTTTTTAAATCCTTTTTATATGTCAATTTGACTTGCTCATAATTAAGTGTCTCAATAAATTGAATGAAATGAAACGAAACATCCATATTTAAATCAAATAATCAGAATGGCAGAATATTTTGGAGCAGCCTGTTTATAATTATTCAAGTAAAAAGGGATAGCAGTTGCTTCCTTTTTCCTTTTTGTTATACTGTCCTTCTGTAGGTTGTTTTTTTCTGCTTTTGAAGGTCTGGATGTGCTTATTTTCCCATGGATAACCTACCTTCCTTCCTTCCTTCCTTCCTGCCTTCCTTCCTTCCTCCCTCCCTCCCTCCCTCCCTCCCTCCCTCCCTCCCTCCCTCCATGTTCTCCAACAGAAATTCATGGGTTCTTTACATGAAACGTAATTTATAATTATTAGTGAGTCCACCTGGTTTTTTCATTGACAGATGTGGACTCCACTACTGATTGGGCAGATGTAGACTCCAGTGCTGATTCAACAGATGTGGAGTCCATTACTGAGTCCATTACTGACTCCAAATACAAATGTGGAATCTATTCATCATTTAACAAGATAAACCTTTTCAAACCAACTTGCTGACAAAACATACTGTTATGTTTTGTTTAGGTGTTCCTTGTTTTCATGTTGCATGGGCATCAATGTAGAAGACATTCCTGTTCCTCCTGACAGGTAATATTGCTTTCTCCTAAATCATGGGCATGATGGGGCACCATTGATGGCTGCAGAATCTGTAAGAGCCTCTCCCCCAAGATGGCTTCCTGTCCACAAGGGGTTTACGGAGCAAAAAAATGGACAGGCTGACTGGTTGGTCTGAGAAAGGGGAGACTGAGCTAAGTAGATGTTCTTTGACATGTCACCTTCTTCCTTTGGTCAGGACTGAAGAGGCACAGGAGTGAATTGAGCAGGAGAGCTCTCGTGATGGAGACACTTCTTCATTCCCAGGAGTAAAGATGGTTTTGCAACATGGCTTGAGGTTCATACCTCAAGACCGTTTGGAGAAGGGGAAGAAATCTCAGCCAGCCTAGGAAACTCAGCAGAGGTAGAGGGGAGGGATTGGTGTGGCTGGATTCACACATGATTAACCAAAATGAACCAAGTCATGGTTTAGTGCAATGTGTCAATTCAATCTTTTCTCTTCATTACTTTCTGAGAAGGATATGAAATTTCCTTGTTTTGCTCTCTGTAGGAAAGAATGCATCAGATGAATGCCTAATCCTCCTTGGAAGGATGATCCCGTTCTTTATTAATTGTGCCTTTGCCCTTTAACTAGATTCCTTATTTAAGGCTGCCACAGACTAACATACGTCTCATCCTAGAATCTCAAAAGTGGTGTAGATCTATGCCACACAAATTGGGAAGTCTTAAAATACTTGCCACAAGATGTCCCCATAACATAATCTGGAAATCACTGGTTGCCAGTGATGAAGCTACATCTAAAAGACAACAATTAACTTACGGTTCATCAGTTATTAGATCACAAATATTCTATATGCTTGGAATGTTGTAGACCCAGTTTCATATGTGTTACTTCTTTTTTTTTTATTAAAAAGTTTTATAAATTTTACAAAAAATAAAAGACAATACAAAAACAAATACAAATAAAAACAAACATTACCCAACAAAACCCCCCTTCCCCCACCCCTACCCAAACCCCCCCTTCCCCCCCCCAGGGCCTCCCAGAGCAGAATATAGGCTTAATTAAAAAAAGTTAAAAAAATTTATATTTATAAAAAAAAGAATATAAAATAGAATATATATATATATATATAAAGTTAAAAATTATGAAAAAACTATATAGTATTTTTTATATCAAATTTAAATTGTATGAATTTTATCCATTTATCCCAAACAGCAAGAAATTTCTCTTGCGTTTGACCCTTTAAGAAAGCCGAAATCTTTGCCATTTCCGCCAAATGAGACACTTTAAGAAACCATTCCTGCAATGTAGGCAAAGATTCCTTCTTCCAATATTGTCCTACTAACAGCCTCGCAGCTGTAATCAAATTTAACATCAATATAACCTCCTTTGTATCACAATCAATAACTATACCTAACAAAAATAATTGTGGAGTAAATTTTACCCTCCTTTTAAAAATTCTCTGGATATTCCACCATATCTTAATCCAGAATGCTTTTATCTCTCTGCACGACCACCAAATATGATAATAAGTAGCGTCCATACAACCACATCTCCAACATTTAGGTTGTAAGTCAGGGTACATAAAAGACATTTTTTGTGGATCAAGGTGCCATCTATAAAACATTTTATAAAAGTTCTCCCTTAAGTTCTGTGCTTGTGTAAATTTGACATTTCTCACCCAAATAGTTTCCCAGGTGTCCAATGGAACTGGCTCACCAAAATTCTGCGCCCATCTAATCATACAATCTTTAATTAGTTCCGTTTCTGAATCCAATTCAACTAAAACCCCATAAATCCTCTTAATGTGGGTTTGTCTTTGATCCTTCACTTGCTTAATAAGATTTTCATCTTCTCTGAGAAAACCCACCTTACAGTCCATCTTCCATCTGTCTAATAATTGCCTATATTGGAACCAAGAATAAATAATATTTTCTTGTGCTAACTCTTCCCGTAATTTTAACTGCCAGTTTTGTCCATCCCATTTAAGTAACTGTCTATAGGACACCATATCCATTTTAACCCCTCTTTTTATTCCTTCTATTGCATGCCAAGGTATAGCCCATAATGGTACTTTGAAATCACTTTTATAATATTTTCTCCAAACCCTAAGTAAAGAAATTCTTAAGATATGAGATTTAAAAGCCCAATCCATTTTTTTATTAAATATTAAATAGGCATGCCACCCAAAAAGTAAATTCCATCCCTCTAAGTGAAGTATATCAGAATTTGTCAAATTTACCCAGTCACTAACTAATGTTAAAACCACCGCATCATAATATAATTTCAAATTCGGCACCTTGAGTCCTCCCCTCTCACGGAAATCTTGCATAATTTTAAATTTAACCCTTGGCTTTTTCCCTGCCCAAATAAATTTATTAAGGCCTTTCTGCCACTCAGTTAAATTGATCTCATTCTTCAAAATCGGTATCATTTGGAACAAAAAGAGAAACTTGGGTAGAATATTCATTTTTATCACTGCAATTCTTCCCATGAGGGATAATTGCAACTTTTCCCAATTCTTCAAGTCTCTCTGTACCCTAACCCACAACCTTTCATAATTATTTTTAAATAATTTTGCATTAGAAACAGATAGCATCACCCCCAAATATTTTACCTTATTAACAATTTCAAAACCCGTCAAATTAACCAAAGTCTGCTTCTCCCGACTAGTCATATTTTTAGGTAAAATTTTAGTCTTATTAACATTAATCTTAAAACCCGAAACCAAACCATAATTATGAATCAACTGTAATAATTTTACTACAGAATAAGTAGGTTGCGACAAAGTAATAACCAAGTCATCCGCAAAAGCTCTTAACTTATACTCTTTTTTATTAACTTCTATTCCTTTAATTTCCTGCGACTCTCGAATTTTGATCAACAGTATTTCCAGTGTTAAGACAAACAGCAACGGTGATAATGGACAACCCTGTCTAGTACCTTTCTCTATTGTAAAAACCTCTGACAAGCCTCCATTAACGATAAGTTGTGCCGTTTGTTTTTGATATATTACCATAAGAGCTTGCAATATCTTTTCACCAAAATTCATCTCTTCCATTACTCTTAACATAAAATGCCAATTCAATTGATCAAAGGCTTTTTCAGCATCTAAAAATATCAGCCCTGCAGGAACTTGGTTATTTTTATCTAAATATTCTAATAAATTAATAATTTGTCTGACATTATTTTTCATGTACCTTCCAGTTATGAACCCAGATTGATCTTTATGCACAAGGTGGTGCACCACCCTCATAAGCCTATTTACTAAGATTTTTACAAATATCTTATAATCCACATTTAAAAGAGATATAGGCCTATAATTCTTTGGTAAAGTAAGATCTTGATCTTCCTTTGGAATCAATGATATAAAAGCAGTACGCCATGAGGGAGGAATCTCTTGACCCTGTAAAATGCCATTAAAAAGATCACCTAATGGTTGAATCATCCTCCAATAAAGCTTTATAATAAACAGCTGTTAACCCATCCGTACCCGGTGCTTTCCCTGGTTTCAATTGTTGAATTGCTAGCGAAATTTCCTCCTTAGTAATTAAACCATTAACTTCATGTATCTGATCCTCTGTCAATTTAGGGAAACTAACCTCGCTTAGATATTTATTTATCTCTAAAATTTGCACATTAGTGGATTTATATAATTTTTGATAATAATCCAGAAAAGATTTCTTAATCAGTTCCTTCTGAGAAACTAATTTACCCTTGTAATTTATTTTATCTATTGTTCTCTGTCTCTGTTTCTTTCTCAATTGATAAGCCAGCCATCTCCCTGGCTTGTTAGCATTACAGAATGTATTTTGTTTCATAAACAATAAATTGGTTGCAGCTTGATCTGCTAACAACATATTAAATTGTGTTCTTAACAACTTTAAGGATTCTTTAATACTTTCATCAGAAGGATTTAAAATCAAAGACTTTTCTTTTAATTTAATTTCATCTTCCAATTCTTTACGTTTCTGAATCTGTTTTTGCTTATGACAGTTATTCATTTTTATCAAAATCCCACGCATAAATGCTTTCCCTGCATCCCATACCATTGACATTGAAGTCCCCTTATACATATTCAAAGCAAAATAATCCTTTAAACACTCCTTTAGTTTCTGAACATTTTTTTCTTGTCTAAATAAATTCTCATTCACCCTCCAGGATCTTCTCTCCTCTTTTTCTTGAGTCAACTCCATCCAGACTGGACTATGATCCGTCAAAGACCTAGGGAAAATCTTGACATTCTTTACTCTATTATATAAGTCCGTTGTAATCAAGAAGAAGTCAATTCTTGAGAAGGATTGGTGTCTATCTGAAAAGAAGGTAAAGTCTTTCTCCTCTTGATTACATTCCCGCCAATAGTCCCGTAATTCCCAGTCCTCTTTCATATCAAAAAAGGCTTTAGGTAATTTTGCCTGCTTAAGAAGAGGAGAGGAACCTTTTTTGTCCCTTTGTACATCTAAGACACCGTTCCAATCCCCCATTAGTACCACGGATCTATAGTCCAGCAGATTTATTTTTTCATGTAAGAGTCTGTAAAATTGTTCCTGTTGCTGATTTGGTGCATATAGTCCCACTATAAGTACTTTCTTACCATATAAGCCCAATTCAACCATCACATATCTCCCTTGGGGGTCAGACTCCACCAGACAAACTGGTAGATTTTGCTTAACATAGATAACAACTCCCCCGTTCTTCCTGGGAGCAGAAGATACGAAGTGAGATCCCAGACGGGCATTAACTAAATATTTCTGATCCTTAAGTAAAATATGAGTTTCCTGTAAGCAAATAACATCATTATTACGTTGCTTCAAATAATAAAAGATTTTTTTCCTTTTCTGAGGAGAATTCAATCCATTAACATTCCAGGTCAAAAACTTTGCCATCTCCCTTGGCCCGCAGCCTGGAGAAGACACCTTGGAGATCTGAAATTGCAACATGTGTTGCATGACTCTTGGGTCTTGCTCCTCCCACCGGCGGTGATACATTTCCAGGAGAAATCTCTTTGGCCTCTTTCTTACGTTGCTCCTTCTCTTTACGTTTATAAGCTGCACGAGTCATTCTCTGCTCTTTAACCTCTGTCTGGCGTTGCCCTTCAGCTTGCAGCATCCCAGCAGAAACCAAACCTAATGCCTCAGACTGCTGCTCCGCCTCTTTGCCACTCAGGGATTTCTGAACAGGTAAAGTTGAGCCTGCACCTAGGACTGAAGTATAGAATTCTCTAGCTTTATCAACCGTATTCAATCTATAACGTGTCCCCGCATGGCTCAAAACAATACCCATCGGGATTTCCCATCTAAATGGCATCGATCTAGCTTTAAGCTCATTAGCTAAGAAAGCAAAATCTTTCCTGATTCTTAAAATTTTTGATGGGATTTCCTTTAGTATGATGACATCTTGGGCAGCTATCTGAAATCTTTTATTATAAAAGGCTTGTATGATCTCATTACGCAGAGACTTCTTCGTAAAATAAATCACCACATCTCTAGGCAAATTCTTCTGCTTAGCAATCCAAGAGTTAAGCCTGTACACTTTTTCAACTTCTCTGCGTAATTCTCCTTTATCCATATCCAAAACCACAGCCAAATCAGTAAGGACCACCTCCATCAGATCTTGATTCATATCTTCCTTGAGGCCTCTAATCCTCAAGGCATATTCCATCTGCCTATACTGAAACATCAGAATATCTTCTTGTGAAGTCTCCACCTTCCTTTCCACATCTTGAATTTTGTCATCAAAGGAATCAACTTTATCTTCAACTTCCTCGAGTCTTGCATCCAGCTTAACCACCACTGTAGCCAAACCTGAGACTGCTGCAAGTATATCTTGTCGCAAAATATTATTGTTATTTTCCAATTGATCCTTTATCCCACTTATCTCTTCTTTGAAGTCAGATTTAATTTCTGATTTAAGCTGTGTAGAAAATTGCTTCATTTCCTCTCTCATTTGAGCTACAGCCTCTCCCATTATACCTCTAACCTCTTGTGCTGAAAGTCCAGGCAAAGGAGGGGAGCGTGGTGGCTGTGCCGGTGGTGCATGTTTAAGTTGCTGTTGTGGTTGTGCAGTAGAAGTTATAGGGGAGGAAATCACCTTGGATGTTGTAGAAGGCGGCTGTCTCTTTGAAGCCATTTTAAATGACACAGTTCTCACTTCCCTTTCCCCCCCCCAAAAAAAAGAGATGAGGGGGAAAGAGAAAAATTTTAACTTTTAAAAGAGGCAGCAAAAACACTATAATCCTTGAAAATCCAGAGAAAAAAGACCAAGAAAAAAAATCAAAAAAGAGAATTCAATACCAAAAGCAAAAGTAAAGTCCAGTCCTTAAAAGGAGAAAGTGAAGCAAAAGACAAAGGAAAAAAAAACTCCGTCACTTTCAAAACGCCATCTTAATTCCTTCTCCACAATAATAAAAAGAAAAAAAAAGGAGAAATAATCAAAACTAAATAAAAAAAATAAACACCTAAATTATATAAGAAAAAATCCTTTAAACTGCTCTGTCCGGTTTTTTAGGAATTACTCACCAACTCTCTATAAGCACGGAGATAGAAGCGGCAGTTTCTTTTGCTTCCTAGGAAGCAAAAACAGCTGGGAGGCGGAGACAACAAGAGCTCCGAGGGAACACTCCTTTCACCCCCTCTAGAATTAAATCCAGAGAGGGTTCAGGGGTTCTACCTCTACTCTTGTACTCTCTGTCCCTTCCCTTTGCCCGGGACGGGAATTCCGAGCCGCGGGCCAGCTGATGCGCGCTGCGCTCCGCGGCTCTAACACTTTCCCAGCTGGACGGCTAGAAGATAGCCGCCATCGCTGTCGCTCCGTACCGGAAGCCAACCTATGTGTTACTTCTTTTCACCCACTCAAATAGCTTTGAATCAAAAGTTAGCTCTGAAAATTTATATTAGCAAAAAAATATGGAAATTTTTCTCTGAGCACACAGGATTGGCGCCCATTAACAGGTGAGCAAAGATGCCAGGTTGTGCTGGCCCAAAGAGGAAAGGAAGGTCAAATTGCCCAAGAGGCCCAGCAGAGAAGCAGGACCCTTTGGAAAGAAGAAGGAAGAAATGATAGAAGTCTCTAATACGTGAAGGGCTGCCATGGGAAGAGTATTAATTCTCAATAGTAGCTGAGGGTAGGAAAAGAAGCAGCGGGTGGAAGCTCCTCAGACAGATCCAACCCTGGAAATGAGGAATTTCCTGATGGTGAGAACTGTTAAGCAGTGACACAATTTGCCTGCTGGAGTTTTGTGTGCTCTATTGCTGGAGATTTTCAAGAAAAGATTGGACAATTATTTGAGATGGTATGAGGACTCTTGTCTTGGACAAGGAGTTGGACCAGTAGACCATTAGGTTCCCTTCCAACCTTATTATTCCCTCTTGTGTTTTGTGCTACACATGATTGTGCTTCTCTGTTGCTCATGAACAGACACCTTCCCACATTAAAAGCAAAAGAGAGTCAGCCACTGGTCTGCCTAGTCACTCCTACTCCCAAGTGAGCTGCCATAATTGTGTAGGTTCAAATAGTGGCCATTGTTTCCCTGGTTGCCGAGAAAATAGGTGAGTTTGCCTGAAAAGCCAGTAGTCAGTGCACTTACTTCATGGCCTGAAATACCAACATCTAGCTTGGCTATGGTAGCACAAAGGCTTTTTAGAGTAAGTATGGCCATCTCAGCGGCCAACAAATAAGGATAGGGGAGAAAGTCATGCTTCCCAACTCTTCTACCTGGTTCAAGTCTATTTCTCTTCTCTCTTCACAGAACCCCTGGAAAAAGTATTCATTGTTTTCTTGGTGCACACCTGGGCCTCCTGACAGATACCACAGCTTATACACTCTGGGCATGGTGGGGCACCATTGATGGGCTGCAGTGTCTGTAATAGCCTCTCCCCGAGACAGCTTGCTGTCCACAAGGGGCTTGTAGGGGCAAAAAGATGGCCAGGCTGACTGGCTGGTCTTAGAAAGAGAAGGCTGAACTAGTTGGATGTTCTTCGACATGTCATCTTTTTCCTTTGGAGAGGACTGTAGAAGCCCAGGGACAGACTGAGGAGCAGAAGAGCTCTCCATCCCCAGGGGTAAGGATGGTTTTGCAACATAGCCAGTGAGGGGTCATGGCTTAAGACCAGGTGGGGAGGGGAGCAATTCTAATTTGGGGAAACCCAGCCAGCCTAAGAAAGTCAAGAAGACTCTCTTGGATTCCTAGAAAGATCTTGATGATCTCTATATTGGCAAATATTAGGGAGGACCCATTTTGAGCTTGTTGGCCACATTTTCCAATTTCTGCAGTCTCTTTGCCCTTTGGAATGAAGCCTACCCTCCTGGGAATCCAGACAACATTACACCAGACACAGAGAGCTTTGATTTATACCTTCAAATGAACAATGGTTACTTTCAAGTTTTGATGGGTGTTCAGATGACTGCCTGGAACCACAGGATGGAAGATGTTAAGTCTTTTCTCAATTTGGCAAGGTACGTGATCTCAGCTGATGGATTCTGAAGCCCCCAAGAAGGCAGCTGCACTACTGCCCTAAAGAAAAAAGGCTCGGAAAAAAGTTTGAATAGGAGAGGGATCTCCACCCTCTACCTCTGCTTCTGATAAAGGAGGAATGACTTGGTGAGTCCGTTGGCAGTCCAGCCCATTGGCTGGTCAGCTTGCTGTCCTTGCACATCTCATTTTCTTCCTCTGGAAAGGACTGAAATGGCAGAAGATGGCCAAGGAACAGAAGAACTCTCCTGATGGGGACACAACTCCTACCTCAGAGACAAAAAAGGTTTGATATCTAGACAAGCATCCAAAAATACACGAAGCAGGAAAGGAGTCCTTGTCCATGAAGGTAGATAGCACCTTGGAGGGTGAAGACCCTTGCTTGTTTAAAAAGGGCTTGCAGGGTAGAAAAAGATGGACAGGCTGACTGGCTCATCTTCAAAAAAGGAGGTTGAATGCCCTTACATATTTTACCTCCCTCTGGACAGCACTGAAATGGCAGAAGAGGAAGCTGATGACGAGAACTCTCCTGATGGGGACACAACGTCTGCTTCAGAGGTAAGAAACAGGGCCAATGGAGGTCATGCCACAAGTTCTGATTGGGGAGGAGAGAAACTGTGTTATAGATCCTTCTATAGACTTCCAAAGGCTTCCAAATGCCCTCTTGCTGTTGGCACTAGGGCTGCATACACTCTATGCAGAGAGCCTTGGATTTATGCTTGATACTGTTATTGGCAGGATTTGATGGAAGTCCAGAGGGCCTCCGGGACCCACAGCCTAGAAGATATTGACTTGTAATGGCAGAAGCTCTGTGTTTGTGGATTGTAGAGTCAAATGAGTGTTTTCTGTTGGGGAGGGATGGAAGTCCTATATTCAGTTCTCCTAACTTGAGTGAATTGTGCTGGAGGGATCTGGATGCTGAATTGAGATGACTCCTGGTCCTTGGGGAAACTTACATAGGCTAAATATATGCACCCAAGCTCTGGTGTGATTGACTAATTTACTACAAAGCAGAAAGAATAGTCCACTGCAGCAGACTGGTGTCCTAAATGGATGTGATGCCCCTGCTGATGCCTTTCCTTTTTCTACTTCATCCTCTCCAGTACCCTACTGCTTCTGGGTAGAGCTTTAACAAGCAAAGATTAGAAAGTTTATTTTCCTGGGGGATGGGTGGGGTAATAGTAATAGTAGTAAAGTTGGAAGGGACCTTGGAGGTCATCTAGTCCAACCTTGGAGGTCATTTAGTCAGGCAGGAAACCCTCCACCATTTCGGACAAATGGCTGTCCAGTCTCTTCTTAAAAACTTCCAATGTTGGAGCATTTACTGCTTCTGGAGGCAGGCTGTTCCCGTGATTAATTGTTCTCACTGTCAGGAAGTTTCTCCTTAGTTCTAGGTTGCTTCTCTCCTTGATTAGTTTCCACCCGTTGCTTCTTGTCCTGCCTTCAGGTGCTTTGGAGAATAGCTTAATTCCCTCTTCTTTATGTCAGCCCCTGAGATATTGGAACACTGCTATCATGTCCCCCCTTGTCCTTCTCTTCGTTAAACTAAACATACCCAATTCTAGCAACCGTTCCTTATATGTTTTAGCCTCCAGTCCCCTAATCATCTTTGTTACTCTTCTCTGTACTCTTTCTAGAGTCTCAACATCTTTTTTACATCGTGGTGACCAAAACTGGATGCAGTATTCCAAGTGTGGCCTTACCAAGGCATTGAAGAGTGGTATTAATACTTCACGTGATCTTGATTCTATCCCTCTGTTAATGCAGCCTAGCACTGTGTTGGCCTTTTTTGCAGCTGCAGCACACTGCTGGCTCATATTTAAGTGATTGTCTACTAGGACTCCGAGGTCCCTCTCACAGTTACTACTATTGAGCATGGTGCCACCTATGCTGTACTTGTTCATTTGGTTTTTCTTGACTAAATGTAGAACCTTGCTTTTTTCACCATTGAATTTCATTTTGTTAGTTAGTGCCCAGTGTTCAAGTCTGTCCAGATCCTTCTTTATCTTAAGCCTGTCTTCTGGAGTGTTGGCTATTCCTGCCAGCTTGGTGTCGTCTGCAAATTTGATGAGTTCCCCATCTATCCCTTCATCCAAATCGTTGATGAAGATGTTGAAGAGTACTGGGCCCAGAACAGAGCCCTGGGGCACCCCACTACACACTTCCCTCCATATAGATGCAGTTTCATTGAGGACCACTCGCTGAGTATGGCCGGTCAGCCAGCTACGGATCCATCTGGTGGTGGTTCTGTCTACCCCACATTTTTCTATCTTGTCAAGTAGTAGGTTGTGATCTACTTTATCAAATGCCTTACTGAAGTCCAAGTAAATTATGTCCACAGCATTCCTCTGATCCACTAATTTTGTCACTTGGTCAAAGAATGCAATAAGATTTGTCTGTCATGATCTATTTTTGACAAACCCATGTTGGCTTTTAGTAATGACTTTGTTTGCCTCTAGGTGTTCGTTGATTCGTTGTTTGATTATCTTTTCCATGATCTTCCCAGGTATTGAGGTCAGGCTGATAGGTCTGTAATTTCCTGGATCCATTTTTTTTCCTTTTTTGAGGATGGGAACTACATCAGCTCTTTTCCAGTCCTCTGGTAGTTCCCCTGTGTTCCAGGATCTTTGAAAAATATAGTTCAGTGGTTCCGATATCACATCTGCCAGTTCCTTGAGAACTCTGGGGTGTAATTCATCTGCTCCTGGCGATTTGAACTCATCTAGGCTGGACAGGTGCTCATTTACCATTTTCTTGCCTATCTTAACTTGTGTTTCTATTTTGTTTTTTATAGCACTATTTTTGATAGGTTGGTCTGTTTTTTTCCTTTGTGTAAAGACAGATGCAAAAAACGAGTTAAATAGTTCTGCTTTCTCCCTGTTGCTTGTCACCTTCTTGCCACTTCTACCCATTAATGGACCAATCATTTCCTTCATCTTTTTCTTGTTTTTTACATGTTGAAAGAAGCTTTTTTTGTTATTTTTGACTTTGATTGCAAGCCTTAGTTCATTTTGAGCCTTGGCTTTCTTCACTTCATCTTTGCAGGCTCGGGCTATTTGCTGATATTCTGACTTAGTTATGTTCCCCTCTTTCCACTTTCTATACTTGTCCTTTTTATCTTGCAATTTGTCAGAGAGTTCTTTATGCAGCCATGCTGGTTTCTTTTGAGAGCTGTTGTTTTTCCTCTTTGTTGGTATTGTGCTAGACTGTGCTTTTATTATCTCATTTTTCAAAATTTCCCAAGCTTCTTGAATTGTTTTCCCCTTGAGGATTCTCATCCATGGAATCCTTCCCAAGCCCTCTCTAAGTTTACTGAAATTAGCTCTCTTGAAGTCCAAGACTCTAGTTTGATTGTGTTCTATTGCTTGTGCTTCTATAATGTTGAATTCTAATATTGCACGATCCTATAGACTTCCAAAGGCTTCCAAATGCCCTCTTGCTGTTGGCACTAGGGCTGCATACACTCTATGCAGAGTGTATGGGTGGGGATGCCTCCAACTACAGAGATTTATCCTGTAGCATAAGCACTTTTCTAGTCAGGCATCCCCGTTCAATAAATCCTCTTTTTATTTTGAACCCCTAGGTTTATGGAAATAGACATTCTGAGTTTCTTTTCCCCCTAGTGACTAAAGAGGAACCATTTCATTCACAGAATTCCCCCAAAGAAAGCAAAAAGACCTTAGACTGTGAATAGCCTGGAAGAGGATGCCTAGTACCCCACTCTTAATCCAAAGAGGTACCCTTTCAGTTGTAGAACCATTAAGGAACTGGCATCCTTTCCCCAGAACACTGCCTTTGGAAAACTGCACTGTCTTCAGAAAGTCCTAATCTTAAAAAAAAACCCCTCCTATAGGATAGTGGTTTCCCATGGGTTTGAGCAATGGGAGCCAAAAGTAAGCATCATGCTTTCAACCACGTGGAGACTTTCTAATCAATTTCAGGAGTCGCCTATTCTGCTACCTTAAGTATATAAGAATCTTGAAAACTACAAGTTTGAAAAGCTACATGGTGAGTTTACCTTCTTTCTTAAATAAAAACAAAACAAAAAAATAAATAGAATATAATATCTTTATTGTCATTTATTGTCAATGAAATTAAGTGCTGTCCACAGTGCACACCACACACAAGTAAAAACCACAAATAAGAACATACATTATATACACACATCCTTCACATTCTATTCACCATAAAACTATAAGCTTAAGAGTTTTAAGAATTAGGAACAAAAGGCAAAAAGAAAACAATAATCCAATTCAAGAAAATTATAAATGAATTAAGGGGCCAAACAAGCTGGACATTTTGGGATATTAAGATTTAACAGAGTAACAAAGTTGGGGGCCTTGGAGGTCTTCTAATCTAACCCCCTGCTCAAGCAGGAGACCTTATACTAGTGATGGCGAACCTTTTAGAGACCGAGTGCCCAAACCGCAACCCCAAACCCACTTATTTATTGCAAAGTGCCAGGGCCACATCAGCATTATGGTGCCCTTGGGGGGGGCAGGGAGGTGCCTCTGAGTGCCGCCTCTGGCATGCAAAAACCGAGGGCACAAAAATGGACCACCATGCTGCAAGGCACAAAAATGGCTGCCGCCGCACTGCAAAATGCAGATACAAGGCGTTGCACCACCAAAGAACGGGACAGGGCTAGTGAGTATCACACAGGCACTAGTCCTGTCCCATTTGCAGTGCGTGCGTGCTCGTGGCCCCATGTGCACATGCACGCATGTAAAATGCTAGTCGGCTGCTTCGCCTCCTTTGTGGCGGGTGGGGCTCCTGCTCCAGGCGGCGGTGGTGCCCTGATGGACCTGCTGGTGGTGGCGGTGGCCCACGTGCCAACAGAGAGTGCTCTGAGTACCGCCTCTGGCATGTGTGCCATAGGTTCACCACCACTGCCTTATACCATTTCAGACAAATGGCTTTCCAGTCTCTTAAAAGTCTCCAGTGATGGAGCACCCACAACTTCTGAAAGCAAGCACTGGTTAATTGCTCTCATTGTTAAGGACATTTCTCCTTAGTTCTAGGTTGGTTCTCTTCTTGATTAGTTTCCATCCATTGCTTCTTGTCTTGCCTTCTGGTGCTTTGGAAAATAAGTCGACCTCCTCTTCTTTGTGGCAGCCCCTTAGATATTGGAACACTGCTATCATGGCACCCCTAGTCCTTCTGTTCACTGGAATAGATATACCCAATTCCTACAATAGTTCTTCATACGTTTTAGCCTCCAGCTCCCTAATCTTTGTTATTCTTGTCTGCACTCTTTCCAGAGTCTCAACATTTTTTATTTTTGGTGACCAAAACTGGGTACAGTATTCCAAGTGTGATCTTAGTAACACATTATAAAGTGATACTAACACTTCATGTGATCTTGATTCTATCCCTCTATTAAGGCACCCTAGGATTGTATTGGCTTTTTTTGGCAGCTGCAGCACTCTGCTGGATCATAGTTAAATGATTGTCTATTAGGGCTCCAAGATCCCTCTCGCAGTCACTGCTATTGAGCCAAATTTGACCTCATTTGTATATGTACATTCGTTTTTTCTTGCCTAAGTATAAAACCTTAC